TTTGAGTAAAATCTTAAGTGATACATAACCAAATCAGATTAGAGAGTAACAAACCTGAATGATACAATGTTTTGCTAAAAAACCCTGTATAAGATTTTGTGTCTGAATCTATTTGTTTGTTGAATGCCATATAGTACCCAAGCTCACTCAGTTCTGTTTGTGTTGACTGAATAAATAACACCATGAAAGAGTGTTTGTCCATGCATGTGCTTTAAGGTCTCTTCTGATTGGTTTGCCAGATTATTTCAAGGTTGTACAACATGTTTTCATGATATTCACAACAGTAGCTTACTTTCCAAACAGATATTGTATATAGATGTTCATTGTAAAGTTGCAAGGTGATTAAATTGAGTTATTTGTAGATCATAAATCTTAAACTCAAACCTGATCTTCAGTGTAGGGAGACATTGAAGATCAAATTAAAAAAAATCTTACATGTTGTAAATATATATATATATATATATATATATATATATACACACAGTGTAACCCGGATATAAGAGAAACCCGGACATAAGAGAGATTTTCTCTGGTCCCAAATTAGAGCCTGTGTTCATGTATATAAAATAGACCAAACCTGGATATAAGAGACTTCTCCGGTCCTGACAACTCTCTTATATCCGGGTTACACTGTGTGTGTGTGTGTATATATATATATATATATATATATATATATATATATATATATATAATTAACAAATAGAATTTGTTACTTAACTGATAGATGTTATATTGAGCACCTAAACTGTGGAGTTTTGTAGACAAACTTTTTTGTAATTGTTCAGTCCTCTCGTCAGGAGGTTTCAATGAATTGCTTTACAATATATTAAACTCATGAAGCCTAACTTCATTGCCCTACAAATGTATATTTTTATTGCACAAAAAATATCAACATGACTGGGGGGGAAAAAAAAAATAACTTAGTAAAGTATTGGGTTATTTTTAAATAAACATGAATGTCTATAGAGATGTTTTGTTACAAACAAGTTTGTGACTTTGAAATTTTGATATGAACCCATTAACAATGAATTCTTTTTCCTCCTTTTATGACAGGCTTACTAATTTCTTGCATTCTTAACCCTTTTAATCATACTGGGATATATACCTCCCAAGAAAATAATACCAGCTGTTAACATTTGTAAATGATTAGTAGTTTGTTATGAATGTTGATGGGCCAGTTTTGTCTCACCCTTAAAAAAAAATTCTTATGGATCACTGGATCGAAAAAGTGCTTATTAAAAGTCACATAAACCCATCATTAATAAGAAAATAAAAGTGTAAAACTTGAATTAAAAGGGTTACTTGAAAATGGAGCTATTTTAAATTAAATATTGTTTTTGTCTGCCAGCTTATCTTCAAAGGCTTAGACCAAAGTCATCAATTTTCTGATGGCTTTGAAATATTTTGATTCATGCAAATGTACTTTACACAGATTTGACAGAGATACAAGATGGATAATTTTTCTCAAAACAAAAAGGTTGTTCTGTTGTCAAGATGTATACTTTCATTTTTCTTTGATTTTTGATTAATAACAGGGGGGTAAAAGGATGGGAAAGTATGCATGTAATATGTCCTAAAAACATTAATAATACTTTCTCAGGTGATGTTTGCTATGTACAATCTCAGGTATATTACAAAAATGGAAGAAAAGGAAAGATTGAGTATTTTGGTTCTGTGTATATATCATTAAAAAGGTGAAATTAGATGTGGATGTATTTGTGTGTTAAAAAAAAAACAAAAAAAACAGAACAATTTGTTGTGAAAAGGAAGTGAAAATTTTAAAATAATTTTATAATAAAATTAAATGTAAAAATAAAAAATTGAAAAAAAAAAAAAATTTTTTTAATGTGGTGTCTTTTTTTAAAATTTGACTAAAATATACAAGTATCTTAGTCAAATAACTTAAGACTTAACTATTTTAACAAAGAGACAATAAAAAAAAATATTAACAAAATTTTATCATTACATAAAATCATTTCAGTTCTCCAGGTATATATTTAGACAAATATATATTTATACAGGTGAGATTGATCCTTCTGAAAGTTTTATGACTACTTCATAAGAAACCACTAATTTGTTTTTTTTTTCATTTTAAAATTAATTTTCTAATAACATTTAATTATTGTTTAATTTTAGTAATTTCTTACAATTTTAAAATTGTCTCAAAACAAATTTGTTACACCCACATTTAAAATAAAAAAAAAAATTATACAATGGAAATTTCAATTCATGCTGAGATAACAGATTTTCCCCCCTCATATACAAACAAAATATAAATGTGAAAATGCATTCTGGTTCACATTTAAATGTTAAATTTACAAAGAAAATTTCATGTAGCAATTGTCAAGAACAACTAATGCTTACAATAGATTTATATTCAAAATTATAGTGTAATGGTTTTATTACTATTGATGAAAACTTTCCATTTGTTCTCGAAAAAAAATAAAAATAAAAAATTGACTAGCAGACAAGTTAACCAAGTGATAGAAAAGTGTACACGCATCAGCTTAGATGAAAAAAAAAAAAAAATAAATAGTAAGGAAATATTTCTCTTTCTTAGGGTGGGAGGAAGAAAGAAAAAAGATTTTAAATAAAAGTAAAATCAAACAAAAGATGAAATGAAATCTCTACCCAACTTTTGTCTTGTGTTTTTTTTTTTTTAAAAAACAAAAAAATATAGGGTGAGAAAAAGTAAGAGTCCAGATAATCAGCAATAAAATGGAGTTATCTGCCTTTGTAGCCAGCAGCCATATTGTGATTGATTATTACTGTTCCCTCTGCTTTATCTCTGAAAAAGTGTAGAATACACAAAAGTCATTCTTTTCAGGAATAACTGTGTTCCTCAGATCAACATATCTCACAAGTTCGTTTGGAGAGCGGGAGGGAGGCAGTCAAAATGCTTTTGTTGTAGTAGGAGGACAAACCATTGCACATTTTCACTGCAATAGGCATAAAAGTGACATATCAAATTTTTATCTTTGATATAGTGATAAAAGATCATCTCTTCTGCTTAAAACTTGGTCCCTACCTCCTTTTATTTTTTTTTTTAATTCAAAAAAAGTGAAATCATGCTCTGGTACGGTAGCTCAGGCATTGGAAGTAGAAGATGCTTCTGTACGTCGACTGTGGTAACTTGAAGCTAACTGTTCAAAAGCCTGCAAACAAAATAAAGAAATAGGTAAAATATGTAGCACTTAATGATAAATACAAAAGAACAACAATAACAATATTGATTATAATAATAATGTTGAAAGCACCATGATAGGTGTTGTAGAACCCACCAACAAAAGGATCTTTGAAAATGTTTGAGAAACTAAATCAATACAAGGACAGATAGAAATCATGAGAATGAGCATCTCAACGCAACAACATTGCCTGCTGTTGTTGGGGCTTTGGGAATGATATGAAAAGGAGTAAATTAATATGGGGAACAAATTCCTGGCAGCCCTAAAATATATGAATTGCAAAAAAAGAAAAAAAAGAAAATCATACTAATAAGTAAACCAATAGGTTATCTCACTTGACTTTGCTAAACTACCTGTTGCTAGTGGGCGCTCCTTAAAGGCTATATAAAGGCATGCATTTATCTCTCTATTCTCTTTCACAGCTTTTCAAATCTGGCATTAAGCCATAGTCAACCACCAGTTCTCTGTGAACAAACTTTGAATCAACTCTGTTAGTTACAAACACAACTGAACAATCTTCTGAAGATATATTCTATTTTAACACAGAACTGAACTTTATACTCAGAAAAACTTGCTTAAAAACATTTCCTAACAGATAAAGGGAAACTACATTTTTCTCCCTATTCACACATTATACAACTACCTTGTATTTATTGTTGATTTTAATATATATGTTTATTCGTTGAAACAAATTGGTTCTTCATTGTTTTTTCCTTGATGTTTTTAAATATTATGTATGAATGCTAAATGCTTATTCAACACGCAGCCACATTTATCTATTCAACCAAACACCCGTTACCAATTACATTGGTATCCAACGACGTTAGATTAGCATACAACATTGGTAACCCCAACACTTAAGAAAGCAGCATTCTACAAATAAGTAAACCAGTAGGTTATCTCACTTGACTTTGCTAAAACACCTGTTGCTAGTGGGCGCTCCTTAAAGCCTATATAAAGGCGTGCATTTATCTCTCTATTCTCTCTCACAGCTTTTCAAATCTGGCATTAAGCCATAGTCAACATACAGTTGGAATGTGCCACTAGGCTCGCATGCATTTTTTTCTTACTCTCTTGACTTTTGAACTCTTTCATACACTTGTCTATTATGTAGGCCTATACAAATTTTACACACACAAAAATGCGCATTTTTTAGTTTAAAATGTCTTCTTTTATTGTAATTTTGTTAATATATGCAATTGTCATCTTTTTTATATTGTTTTGTGTTACTCATTTTTCACTTGGACTCACATTGAATCCACCAATATTGTTTGGCAGACACATTTTCCAGGAGACAGTAAATATTTACTATCCAAAGTATGGATTCCTGTAACATAATGATGACTACATATTTACCCAAACATAACAGAAATCCCGCAACATCTCTCTTGTATAGAAGGGACAATAATTACATTCCTCCTGCCCTGATTGCATGACACTACAGATATTCACATCTTCTGATAGAAAAAAAAAACGAACTTGTTGTCTCTTGTTGAGACATGGAGGCAACTCATACTATACAAAGCAAAGGCAAAACACAATGATAACTGATTGCCTCTGATAGCATGTACATGTTCTGACTTGTTAATTTACAATGACTATAGTAAGTATTTTGGCTAGTACTACAGATTTGCTTTCCTGTTGTCTGACTTTAGTCAGTTGGGCATGAGCTCTGGTGGCAGATTCACTGTGTATCTCTCTTCATGAGCGGGAATATAGGTGAGAGCATCATGGCTGGATGTCAAAAGTGTTTTTTTTTAGTCTGAAGGATGAGGAAACCAAACCCATATCAGTTACACCACCTGCACATCCAAGCTTACAGCACATGGTATTCCCAAGTGGTCAACCATCTAGGGACTGACCATGTTCGATGTTGCTTAACTTCAGTGATCATATGAGAACTGGTGTTTCAATATGATATGACCACAGGCCATACCACCCACACATCCAAGATTACAGCACCTGGTATTCCCAAGCAGTCACCTGTCTAGGTACTGACCAAGCTCAATGTTGCTTAACTTTGGTGATATGGCCATAAGCCCCAGATTTAAATTATATAAAAGTTAAGAAATTAAAAATCCCTCACCTCAATTTCAGAATCCAGACTCTTTATATACTTTGGTACCTTGTTATTGCGTGTTGTGGAGTTTTGGGCTGAATACGACATGCTTAAATTCTTTTTGGTAGGTAATGTCTTGTATAAAATATCATCTGATGGCTTATCTGCCTTTGAGGCACCAGCAGCCAAGTCTAAAGACTTCAAAAACGAATCTTGTAAGGACATCGGGGGAGAGTTCTTGGTCTCAAACACCGACAACTCTGTACCCCATGATTGCAGGAGTATTGGTGATGGGCTTAGGCGGTTATTCGAGCGATTGTCCTTGGAAGGCCGAGAATTTCTAAGCCAGATTGGTTTCAGCCCCAAGCGATGGCTCTTACTTGGGGGAATGAAAGTTTTCGACAGGGCAAAAGGTGGAGAAGTCGGCGAACTTGAACCCTGCTTGTTAAGGTTCTCTGAGGAAGCGATTTGGCAGTTTTGTTGCTGAGTGAGTGTGCGATCAATTTCGTTCAACTTTTCGTTTAATTCTTGGGCTTCAGTCACCAGGTGTGGATTCGGGTATTTTTCTTCCTTCTTTTTGCTTCCACTACCAAAATGGAAAAGCGACTTCTTGGGATTCATCTGTTTTCGTATTGACTGTAACTGAAATAAATAAAAAGAAATAAATAAAAAAAAAAGGAAAACTTTGATTTTGAATATCTGTCTATATTTTTGAGATGAGGCGTTAGATCCAGTTACAGGACCCAAAGAGTGTGAGGTCAATACCTGGTTAAGGCAGTGGAGAACTTTCAGAGGGAAATTAACAGGAGATAACTGACACCCATTAAACATGGCATGTGGAACTAGAACAGTCTACCCCAGTGAGTGAAATAAAGGATTCAGTTTGACATTCCAACCACCTGAAGAAGGCCGGAGCATACAACAGCTGAAACGTTGTAATAAATATGGCGACAAAGATGAGGACAATAGTCCGAATAATGTAAATAGTGTACATAATACCTCATCTCAGAAATATAGGTAGATAATGAAAGGCCGAAACGTTGTAATAAATATAATACCTCATCTCAGAAATATAGGTAGATAATGAAAGGCCAAAAATTGTAATAAATATGGCATCAAAGATGAGGACAATAGTCCGAATAATGCTTGATTTTGAAATTCTAAAAAGATCACGATCTCAATCCCACAGTGTGCATATTCACTGCTGTTCTGAAAACTTTCATCAGAATCATGAAAAGGTGATCATAATATTTTAAGTCATCCTCAGTATGCAAAGGTAACAAGTTACCAAACAAGAAGTGGATATTAATCAGTGGCGTAACTAGAGTGGGTGCCACCTGAGGGCAGTCCTTGAGTTTAGGCTTTGCCCAACGTTTAACACCTAATTTAGACACTGACTTGGCATTTGATTTAGCAACTCCACCTGTGGCATCCGACTTTGCAACCAACTCCAACCACCAGCGGCATCTGACCTAGAACACCCCCCCAACAACCACCTATGGCATCTGACCTAGCAACTACACTTTTTATTTAAGGTGTCTTGCTTGTACATTTAGATTGCATTTACATTGCAGTTTATCCATTGTCCTAGACAGCATTAAATTTGCTTATTTATAAATTCAAATTTATTTAACACAAGCCAAGTCAGGCCATGAAACGTTTGTAAAGAGTTATCTACCTTTATTTGTGTTGACATCCGCCTTTGAACAAGTCGAGTCATATTGCATGTAGCATTTTCCATTGTTTGTCGTTCATTGGCTTCATTGTCATCTGAAGTCTGTAAATTAAAAAAAAAAAATCTTAGTTAACAATTTATAAATTTTCAAATCAAAAGAAAATTGGTTGTTTTTAATTTTTTTCTATTTTTTTGTGTATAGCCAATGAAAAAGTGACCCAAGCAAACTATGATTGGCTTACAGTTAACTCAGTTAAAATTAGTCAAAAAATTTAGAACTGCCCACCCAAAATCACGTTTTCAATCCAGAAAAAAATGAAAGGAAAAAATTATTTTAAAATAATTTAAATATTTATAAAAATAATTCCTAGGCAATTTTTTTTTTAATTTATGGTCATGGGAATGTATATCTTGTTTAGTTTGTTTCATTTAGCAGCAATAAAATGGTTTGCTTGCTTTTTTTAAGTAAAGTTAGTTGATGCAAGTTCAAGTCTTGATGTGGGTTCTTTCTTTATGAAGCATTTTTTTTTTTTTTTTTTTAAATATAATACCAAAGGGTGTTTGAATAAAAAGTAACAGAAATAAAATGAAAGTAAAACCTAATCATGACTTACCTGCTTTAATCGACATTGAATTTCTTTGATTTGCTGAAGAACATATGTTAAAAGTTCTTGTTTTAGAGCTCTATGCCTCTGTTCCTCTGATGAACAAGGATCTGGAAACAAAAAGTGGAAGTCATGGTTTGTTAGATAAAGAAAACAAAATTAAAATACAAAAAAGAAAAGTTTAGACACAGCATTAAATTTGTCTCTTCTTTTTTTGGATTAAGCCAAAAAATTTATCTGCATTTGTTGTGAGATGGCATAAAAAGTGTTTAGTTATTATTAAAAAAAAAAAAAAAAAAAAAAAAAATGGAATATATATATATATATATATATAAAATGTAGGACACCCATTGCTAAGATACAAAGCTGAAGAGCAACTTGTTAGCTGTCAATATACCTTATAACAACCTTGAGCACTTAGCCTTGGAGCAGGTGGAATGGAGATCAACATGTTTTAGTGGACTCAGCAGTTTTCAATCTGCTTGTCTGAATCGTCTTCAAGAAGTGAGAGCAAGATCTAAAAGGTCAGCCAATCTAACAGTAATCTCAGCTCACAATCCTCACTCTTGCTCCATATGCGGCCTCCTTTGTAAATCACTAGCGGGTCTTAAGTGCCACTTAAGATTATCGCATAACTAAATCAATTAAGTTGTCAGATCCTTATACGTCGAAACCAATATACTCCGGGTATAAAAAAAACAAAATTTTAGTGACCTTCACCTTTAGGCCTTCCTGTTTTTTTTTCCTTCTGTTACACCCTCTCTCTAGAGCTTTCATACATTTCTCTCTCGCATTTGTTTCCCCCACTTGCACACATACACTCACACTAAAATTTTGTTTCTTATACCCGAGTTATATTTCCCAATTTCTTTTTGAATTTGTAGGTCTGATGATTTGGATCGTGATTACGATTCCAATGTAATAAATTATAATCATGGAATATTAGTGTTTGAGCCTTTTATATTATATTCTTACTCTGTCCTGGACATTGAGTTGTACCTCTATTCTATCCTCTTGGGAATTTGTGCGTGTATATATATATATATATATATATACACACACATACTGCCTAAATACACTATTTAGTGTATCTTTTCATTCATACACGTTTCATTAAATAATATAGACAAGTGTTGTCTATTTATTTTATGTAAATTCTTTTCATAACGTCTGATAAGTTTAATAACATTATCATTGAACGAAGAAAGAAATTCAGAATATTGATCCATATTTTTTAATACAATCTGTGGAATCTCTACAAATATCCTTAAATGTCTATAATTGGTAACAGAAGCCATTGGTTTATACTAATGGCTTCCCATACTTCATACTTCTCCAATTCACTCTTGCGCGGTCATGTGTGACGTCATGAGATGCGGTGCGATTTTCACTTCTAGTGTCTTATATGCACGTGTTTATCGTTGCTTAGAAATCATCTATGTAAACATTGACAGACTATCATCACTGTCGTGTCCGATATTGCTTAATATGTTGTAATTGACATCTTTGATAATGGCTTATGTAAGTTTAAAGTTTAGATTGTATTAAAAAAATATGGATCAAAATTGTGAATTTCTTTCTTCGCTCAATGATAATGTCATTAAAACTTATCAGATGTTATGAAAAGAATTCACATAAAATAAATAGACAACACTTGTCTATATTATTTAATGAAACGTGTATGAATATATATATATATATATATATATATATATATATATATATATAAATATATTTATTTATTTATTATAGTGAGATATAGAAGAATTGTCTATTATTTATTTGATGTAATTGCAGGGCATAACATACATGCTTAGGAATGAAGGAACAAGCAGTAACAGGATCATTTGCTTTTCTAGATCTATGAATTTCAGTAAGATTTCCTCTTTATAATATGTACAAAATAATTTGAAGAGTTTAAAAATATTTTCAAATAATTTCTCATCATATAAATACTGATGTCTACAAATTTCATGTGCTCAAAAAATTAAAAAACAATAATCATTCCAATAGTGTAAGTAAAAATAACTCTCAGAATTTATTTACCATTTGTCGTAAGGTCTTCCCGAGAATCAAAAAATCCATCTGATGAAATAGATGGACTCGATGTGCTGCAAGCATCAGTGACATTATGTAAATGTTGGATCCATGTAGCCATGCATTCTTCAGATTCTGCACAATAAAAGAATGTGGCGCCATCCTGTCGTAAAAGAAAAAAAAAAATTGAGTTCTATTTTTCAGAAGTTTAATTTGACATTTAACAGAATGGCAGTTTATGTAGGTAAATATGTAAGCGAAATGATGAACAAAAAAGGAATTTGTTTTACATAAGTATTATTTGAGCTGAATGAGAAATTTCTGCATTTGTTGGCACAGAAGATCTTGTATGCCTGATGAAGACCAGAGAATGATTGGTCAAAACATCTCAAAAGTATCGACAAAAAGTTACCTTGGTTGTTATTTCAAAACAGTGTTTCTTTTCAGTAATTGTTGAACAGTAAATGTGACATCCAATCAGATCCAGGGAGTCAAACACAGTGGGTGGACTCTCACATTTCGGGTGGCTAAACAAGGTGCTTCCTTTTAGAACAAACCATAATCTATTAAGGAAGAAAAAAAAATTCCAATTTGTGAAGACTGATAAACATTTATATAGAGTTAGCCCAAAACTTTGTTTGGTTTATTAAGTAAATTTTGTATTAATAAATTAACATTTTGGTCAACCATATATATATATATATATATATATAAGGTTTGGAAGTAAAGTCTGATGATCCACAGTCCTTTAAAAAGGGCTGTGGTAAAGTGGTCTGTTTTTATTTAAATTATTTGCTCTGGATTTACATTGAGCTGTCTGGATTATATCCTCCTTAGGTTTACCCATACAGATTACCTAGTTTTTCATAAACTATATATATATATATATATATATATATATTTTTTTTTTTTTTGAAGGTGGGCATCACTGGCCAGAGCCTGAAGTGTGCTTCACATCTCCAGACCACAGGTCAACAAGCATTGAATTGGATTTGGTCAAGTTCCAAAATAAAGTTATTTAAAATTAGGCTCACAACACAAAGTTACTTCCGATATGAAACATCTGTTTACCTTCCATTCTACATCATTGATAATAGTTGCTACGAGCATGTTGTGTATTGGTTAATGATCAAAAGCAAATGATTTTAACACAATAAAAGAAAGGAATAGAAAAGAAATCTGGTGGTGGTGCCAGGAATATCAGTACTGTTTTAGTCACCAAAACTGTGTTACTTCCCTAAGTATAAAAAGAAATTATATATATATATATATATATATATATATATATATATATATATATATATATATATGATGAGGGGTTGCTAAAACATTTTTAGAATGACCAAAAAGCTTTTCACTCCCCCAAAATTTCTGATGTTTGGTAGACATTTGGTTAGATTTTAGGAAGTAGGTCAGGCTGAGAAATTTTCATTATCGCTAGATATAAGTACATCAATAAATCTAATCAAGAGTTGAGGAGGAAAAACCCAAAGCATTTATTTTACACATTTTTCAACAATCACTTTAGCTTGTCAAAAGCACTTAATTACTTTAATCAGTGTTTTAAAAAAAAAAAAAAAAAAAAAAAGGTGCTCATATTACTTTCCAGGCAAATTCTTACAGAGAAAAAAAAAATTCTGTTATTTCCTTTCTGGCTAAAATTCCAGACTTTATGCATTGATTGAAGCTAGAAAATATTTTTAGAGTATAAGACTTTGTTTTTGAGATATTGGTTTAGTGATACTAATTAGTATCTAAAAAGAAAAAAGGGAGAAGAAAGAGAAAGAGAAAAAGAGAAAAAAAAAAAAGAAAGTTAACTCAGAAAAAAAAAATGGATCCATAGCTATTCAGAATTTCATAAACAAGGAATTATGTAGACATAAAGTGGGGGATCAATTCTATATTGCAATAGACCTTGAATATATAAGCCATTATCCATTACATGACCCACACATCCAAGCTTGCAGCACCTGCTATTTCCAAGTGGTCACCCATCTAGATACTGACCAGGCTTGATGGTGCTTAACTTCAGTGACTGTATGGTAACCGGTGTTTCAACGTGATGTGGCTGTAAGCCTGTTGCGATAATAATTGGCCTTTCAAGGATTAAGAGGGTTGGTCAGATACAGTTTTCTTACATTGCCTTCACATGTGAGAAGAAGGAAAAAAGAATGAAAGAAGAAAAAAGAAAGTAAGAAAAAAGAAAGAAAAAAGAAAGAAAGAAAAAAAGAAAGAAAAAAGAAAGAAAGAAAAAAGAAAGAAAGAAAAAAGAAAGAAAAAGAAAAAAGAAAGAAAAAAAAAAAGAAAAGAAAAAAAAGAAAGAAAAAAAAAAGAAAGAAAAAAAAAGAAAAAAGAAAAAAAAGGAAAAAAAAAAAAGGAAAAGAAAAAAGGAAAAGAAAAAAAGAAAAAAAAAAAAAAAAGAAAAAAGGGAAAAGAAAGAAAGGGAAAAGAAAGAAAAGGGAAAAGAAAGAAAAGGGAAAAGAAAGAAAAGGGAAAAGAAAGAAAAGGAAAAAGAAAGAAAAGGAAAAAGAAAGAAAAAGGAAAAGAAAGAAAAAGGAAAAAGAAAAAAGAAAAAGGAAAAAGAAAGAAAAAGAAGGAAAAAGGAAAAAGAAAGAAAAAGAAGGAAAAAGGAAAAAGAAAGAAAAAGAAGGAAAAAGGAAAAAGAAAGAAAAAGGAAAAAGGAAAAAGAAAGAAAAAGAAGGAAAAAGGAAAAAGAAAGAAAAAGAAGGAAAAAGGAAAAAGAAAGAAAAAGAAGGAAAAAGGAAAAAGAAAGAAAAAGGGAAAAGGAAAAAGAAAGAAAAGAAGGAAAAGGGAAAAGAAAAGAAAAGAAGGAAAAGGAAAAGAAAGAAAAGAAAAAGAAAGAAAAAAGAAGGAAAAGGAAAAAGAAAAAAAGGAAAAGAAGGAAAAGGAAAAAGGAAAAAGGAAAAAGGAAAAGAAGGGAAAAGGAAAAGAAGGAAAAGGAAAAAGAAGGAAAAGGAAAAGAAAGAAAAAGGAAAAAGAAAGAAAAGGAAAAGAAAGAAAAGAAGGAAAAGGAAAAAGAAAGAAAAAAAGAAGGAAAAGAAAGAAAAAGGAAAAAGAAAGAAAAGGAAAAAGGAAAAAGAAGGAAAAAGGAAAAAGAAGGAAAAAGGAAAAAGAAGGAAAAAGGAAAAAGAAGGAAAAAGAAAAAAAGAAGGAAAAAGAAGGAAAAAGGAAAAAGAAGGAAAAAGGAAAAAGAAAGAAGGAAAAAGAAAGAAAAAGAAAGAAAAAGGAAAAAGAAAGAAAAAGAAAGAAAAAGAAAGAAAAAGGAAAAAGAAAGAAAAAGAAGGAAAAAGGAAAAAGAAAGAAAAAGAAGGAAAAAGGAGGAAAAAGGAAAAAGAAAGAAAAAGAAAGAAGGAAAAAGGAAAAGAAAGAAAAAGGAAAAAGGAAAAGAAAAAAAGAAAAAGAAGGAAAAGAAAGAAAAAGAAGGAAAAGAAAGAAAAAGAAGGAAAAGAAAGAAAAAGAAGGAAAAGAAAGAAAAAGAAGGAAAAGAAAGAAAAAGGAAAAAGGAAAAGAAAGAAAAAGGAAAAAGGAAAAGAAAGAAAAAGAAGGAAAAAGAAAGAAAAAGAAGGAAAAAGAAAGAAAAAGAAGGAAAAAGGAAAAGAAAGAAAAAGGAAAAAGGAAAAGAAAGAAAAAGAAGGAAAAAGGAAAAGAAAGAAAAAGAAGGAAAAAGGAAAAAAAGAAAAAGAAGGAAAAAGGAAAAGAAAGAAAAAGGAAAAAGAAAGAAAAAGAAGTAAAAGGAAAAGAAAGAAAAAGAAGGAAAAAGGAAAAAGAAAGAAAAAGGAAAAAGAAAGAAAAAGAAGGAAAAAGAAGGAAAAAGAAAGAAGAAGGAAAAAGAAAGAAAAGGAGGAAAAAGAAGGAAAAGGAGGAAAAAGAAGGAAAAGGAGGAAAAAGAAGGAAAAGGAGGAAAAAGAAGGAAAAGGAGGAAAAAGAAGGAAAAGGAGGAAAAAGAAGGAAAAGGAGGAAAAAGAAGGAAAAGGAGGAAAAAGAAGGAAAAAGGAGGAAAAAGAAAGAAAAAGGAGGAAAAAGAGGAAAAAGAATCAAAAAGAAAGAAAAGGAGGAAAAAGAAACAAAAAGAAGGAAAAGGAGGAAAAAGAAAGAAAAAGGAGGAAAAAAAAAAAGAGAGAAGAAAAAAGGTTTCTAATTTTTAAAAATAAAGAGAATGTTGGGAAAATTTGCCCACACCTAATATCAAAACTAATTTTAAGAGTATCATTTTAAGATTTATTTTTTATTTGGGATTATTGTTCATCTGTTTTTACAACCTTTGTTTTTCTTTATCTCTTTCTTTATTTTATTACTATCACATGTGCACATTACAGTGGCGAGCTATTCAAAAAGGTGTTGAATTGTACAGAACTTTCCACAATGCCTTTGAAACAAAACACAATGATAAATTATTCGCAAGTAAAACATTTATTTTACAGTTAGCTAACTGCCAGTTATTTGCCTCAAAGTATTAACAAAAAGGGAGAAAATGATGGCAAGGAATTTTTGCAGCTGTAAACCAACAAGCTAATCATTTACAAAGCTTTGGATAAAGAATTAAATTATCTCAGCTTGCTTGATAGCTGAAGTAGTTACACATTTTCCCCATCAGGGTTGGTGGTCAGTATCCAGGCATAAATTGGTCAGTTCGCTATAAAAATGTATTGTTGGTCTGGATAACAGCTCGAATTGAGGAATCAGAGAGCTGGGTTCAAATTCCATTTGAATCCATTACATTCACTTATGTGCTAATACCCTAGGGAAATGTACGAATCCTCTTCTTCACTCCCCAGCTATGGGTAAATAGCAGGACAGACCAGGTTCTATAGCCTTGGATGGCAACTGGTCTACCGCAGAAAGAAATGGCAACCTTATATGGGAGAAAAATCAGCCTCGTAAGTCATGTATCGAGAGATACATGATCACCTAAGCATGTATCACGCATGGCACATAACTGACTGACTGAATTTGTTTTGCTCAACCTAAGTTCCAAGAGAATACTATATAAAATTCACTGTTGAAGGTGCTAAAAAATTCTTGAATTTTTTAGCAAGAAAAATCCTAAGTTGATATTGAAAATTGCCACAAAACATTGTTGGTTTATTTAAGATGGGAGAATCTATTATGACATGTCTCTAATAATTTGTATTTAGATACATTGTATTCATATTCAATTTTTCTAGTATTCCAGTCTTCATTTTATGACACTTTCAACAGCATGTCTCGTATTGTTGGTAGAATATTTGAAACTGTTGTGAACCAAATCTGATTTTAGAAGTGTTGAAATGGACTTGGATTGAGGAATCAGAGAGCCAAGTTCGAATTACATTTGAATCCATTACATTCACATGTGCTAATACCCTTGGGAAAAATATGACTCCTCTTCTTCCCCCAGCTATAGTTAAATAGAAGGACAGACTGGGTTCTATAGCCTTATATGGAAAGTGGTCTACCACAAAGAAATGGCAACCTACTGCAGGGAAAAAAAAATCTGCCTCATATTGAAAGATGCATGATCGGCTAAGCATGTATCAGGCATGGTACATAACTAACTGGTTATTTTGATATAAAAATGTATTGTTGGTCATTTCATCATAAAAATGCAATGTTGATTTTTGTTTGGGGTTTCACGATTTGCCCATAGGTGGGATCCTAACAGGTGTTACCACCTCCAGGTCAGGGTAAACCTAGGAACAGCAGCAGTTAAGAGGTGGTTTGACGCTCCTTAAAATCAGGAATCTTCCAACCAGAGGCCTTGCTGCCAGATGTAGTTTACCATCATACCCAGGATGACTGGTACTTGGGGTAAGCTGGAATGTTTATATGTGAGAAAATACCGGCCTTGAGATGAAATATCTCTTGTGCAAAGAAGAAGCTGGCCAATTTTCTCGTGTAATAATTTGACACTCCCGACTAGCAGGAAGCACTGATTTCCTTAATAGAAGTACTCGGCCACTCAACCTTAAAATTTCAAAGTGAGCAAGCGTTTCTCGTCTCTTCACTCCCCAGTATTGGATTTCAACAATTTTAAAAATGCTTTTTTACAGCCATTTGAAAAAAAAAAAAAGAAAAAAAAAAAAAAAAAAATTTTTTTTTTTGTTCATGTTGACATGAAAAATTGTCGATTTAGAAAAATTCAGTAAAATAATTAATTTAAATCCTTCTGCAGATATTTGGCAAAGTTACAAAGCAACCCAAGTGAAAAGAACATCTGAAATCATTAACTACTGCCAATTAATTTCACTTAGATATGTCAAAAAGTGTGTATGCACATGTATATATCTCAAAATAAAGAGAAAAAACAGATTAAGAATCCACCGTTCTTAGCATTTACTTTCTTTTTTTTTTTTTTAAAAAGTGCTTGATACAACAGAGCAAAATATTATAATAATATTTTTATTATAAAATATTTTATATCGCTACACAAAAATTTCTGTGTTTCGGAACATAAAACATTGCCTGATGAAGAAACAATCTTTAAGTACCAAAACATAGAAATTTTTGTGTAGTGATGTAAAATATTTTATAACAAAAATATTATAATAATAATAATAATAATAATTTTATATACATATATCTATATACATATATGAGATGCATTGTATGCCCATCAAAACACAACTGCAATTGTATAGAAACTTTGACAGGTTTTCAATGTAATATCCTAAGTATAATATATAACAAAGTGACAGGTTCCATACTTCATTAGACTTATTCTGATGAAATCCTGAAGAACGAAACGTCGCAAGTAAACGTTTTCCATTGTGTTATACAATTTCCTCAATACTGTTCTCTCTATATATGTAAATATATATATATATATATATATATATATATATATATATATATATACAAATAAAGAGAAAGAACAAGAATCCACCGTTCTTAGCATTTACTTTTTTTTTAAAAAAATACTCGATACAACAAAGCAAAATATATTTTTTATTATAAAATATTTTACATCGCTACACAAAAATTTCTGTGTTTTGGAACTTAAAAATTGTCCCATCATTAGGTGATGGTGGGTGACGCACACACATGTATATATGTGTGTATATGTATGTGTGTGA